AGGCACCTGACAAAATTATCTTCACAAAAATTTAAAATTCTATAGTTTTGATAAACGGTGTGGTGAATACTACTAAAAACTTCTAGATATGAAAAAGTGAGCCCTGAGCAGTACAAAGTAAAACCTGAAGACTCTCAGTCTTGCTGCTTAAAACCTCCCGAGGGACCCCAGATGCACTTCTGTAATACATACAAGATGTAATGATACTGCACAGAGCTTTTGTTCTTGTCTTGTATGGGTTTGTACTAGTTCATTGAGCCAATGGAGAATCAAAGCTCTCAATTATCTGAAAGGCAAAGGGCCATATAACAGCCTTTGCAATTCTGTTCCTTCATAACTTTAAGAAGTTTTGCATCAGGCGGATGATGTGACATCACAGATCACACAGTGACAAGACACTGAAGAGTGAAGGATTGTTTTGGTTAGGCCCATCTCCCGTTGTTTTTCACCCTGAGCCCTTATTTAGACAAACAAATAAATTACCTTTTCCTTTTCATTTAGCGGAAATAATATGCAATCACATACTTTTAAATACAGACTCCATGTCTTTAATTAAAATCTTACATCCATGAAGTGAAGTCCTGTGGTTCATTTCATAGCTAAGGCTGAGCTCCTTGGTGTTTAGGTGAACCTGAAAATTAATAAATCAGTATATTAGCTGTAAACTACAGTGGTTTATTTCCTGTTTCTGCCAGCTGATCCATCTGGATTAGATCCTGTAAAAATTCAGCTAGAGCTGTCTCCGCTAATTTTTTTAAGAACGAAATCACAATCCTGACGTGTAAGAGTTTATTAAGCATTCCTTTGATTAATGTCACTAGCCCCCGTAGGAAGTCAGATGTACAATCAATATAATAGACACATCCGCTCCTCATGTGCTGAGGATAACTCTGGCTGCCATGTCACTGGATGGAAATGAACCATTTATATTGATGAAGATGGCAATGCTCCTCTGAACTTTTAATCTAACAAAACCTGAATTTTATCAGTCCACTTGTCCAGCTTCTATTCACATGCCAAGGTGAGGGAGCCACGTGTAGGTAATGTGTAGGTAAAGCCTTCATGGAATAAGGCAGCTCCTTACTCCATTGTGTAATAAATCCAGGTTATTCCATGGAGAAGGGAGAGCTGCAGCAGGGTGTATACCATGAACAAGTGTGCAGGAGAGCAGCATTGCAGGAGTAGGCTTCATAAGCTCTACCTGACAAGTAAGGGTATTTCACCATTAAATAAGAGGTCCAGGGCAGAGGTCAGCACTGCAGGCCTGATCACTGCTTCACTGCTAGCTCGTTTCCTCACCCTTCTAATTTTTCTCTGTTTTAAAGTCCTCTGCAAAGACACTGGTCAGAGAGAAGGTGAAAGTAGAAAGGATTTGAGGAAAAGTGAGAAGTTGGAGGGCCTGTCCAGGAAACAATCAGTCATCTCATTTTTGGTGTTTTGGAAATCAGACATCTTTTCCCTTTCTAGCACAAGATTCTGGAGAAAGTCTTATGCTGCAGGCAGCCATGCCACCACAAATCTGGTGGAGTCCCCAAACCAGGGACACACAACAAACAGGCTGAGAGGTGGAGCAGAGCATAATGTCTCTTGGTTTTTCTCAGGAATGGAAACAGTTTACTGGAGGTCCCCTGATTTGGAAGATACTCCCTGTGGCTACTTCCAGCAAGGGAGAAAATGCTACCACTTTCTTTACCTACAGGTTGACACAAGAGGGACTACTCATTATCTTCCTTCTGATTGATAGATTTGTGGATTTTTCCACAGAAAGGAATTATTGCAGTCATGGGTCCTGGCTGAAGTCCCAAAACCTCAGCTATGAGGAACTGCCTGGAGTCATAATGCAATTACCCAGGCTGAGGTTCTCAGCTTCAAATGAGAGCTCAGATTTTGAATTAGGGAGTGTGTGAAAAACCTTTCTGGAGTCAAATTGAGAAGTGAATGGATATTAAGTGATTGGATGAGGAGTCCTGACTGAGGCTCTGTTCCACAGGAGAGTTAAAACAACGTAAACATGAAAAGGCCCTTGAACGTGTTTTTCAAGTTAGATCATATGGAAATCTTTAAGGATTAATATTTCAGAAAAACAGATCAGTTTACGGTCATAAATAGGGAGAACACAATGAGGGCTAGTAACTCTTCTTTCTCTTACATGCCAGTATCAAAATTCAAGACTCCCTCTCTGAACATCAGATCAATGCAATTAGTGTAATTCCTTGTCCTGCTTTATTACAGCCATCCCAAAGACCTACAGGTTGAACATGTTTCCTTAAAGTCTGATTGCAGCACGTGGAAAGACAATGTTTCATGGACAGTGCACACATTTTTTTGAGAAGTTGCCATGCTGCATCTTTAATTCAATCAGGGAATATTAAAGGGACCATTAAAGATGTTGGCCTTTTTTTTTTATTTCAATCAATATGACCTCAGGCAGACACCAATAGGTTTAACATAATGCCAGGATATTAAGAAAAGAATATGATTATAACATCAGTGACCATTATAGAAAAACCTAATGAACCTGTCAAACTTATCATTAGTTTTAGACACACAGAATAAAGCATGACATTGGAGTGAGCCACAGACTGTATTATATCACCAGAAATTATATGGTACTCATCTTATCTGAATCAATAAAAAATGCTATTTAGTCTCCATAAACTTTCAGACAGTCATAATATACCTTATTCCTAAATATATAATATCTGCTCTTTTGCTGAACACTTACATTCTCAATGTCTAATATCAGTGAAATTACAGTGAATAATTTCTGGATATGTAAGAAATGCATTTTCTTCACATAAAAGTATCCAAACTATTTCTACTCCATTTGTTGAAAACAATTTTTAAAAATATCAGAAAATATTCTGTGTTTCTATTCTGAGCAATATATAAACCACCCCTAGTGAATGCAATGAAGAGAAAATGATTTCTACATTTATAGAAAGTGTAAGGGATGCCAACCAACATTTTGCGTACATCTCAAATTATTTATCCCACTACAATCTTTTCTGACAACAAGGTAATTGCTTCAATAATACAAAACCTAGAAAATAGCTTTTGCCACACAAATCTTAGTAGTACCTAAGATAGAATGCAGGATGTAACTATTGAACAGAAAATCATATTATAAGGAATATATTTCTTCCTAGCACAATTCTTTCAGTATTGAATTCAGAAGATCATTTCACTTATTTCTGGAGATTTTTTTTTCATTCTTCATTACCTGAAAAGTTATATATATACTTTATACTTATTAGTGACACTCATTGTTGGTGAACACCATTTTGCATTACATCAGAAATGCTTTTTTTCTTTAGAAGTAAATAAAAAAGAAGATCAAAAAGAGCTGCAAACATTAAAAATCTGACATCAAAAAGGATGAAAAATTTGTACAAGCCATGTCAGAGAAAAAGTGTAGGGCAGCAGTGCCAGAACAATGCCTGCAATATGATCAGAGAAAGGAGGGTAGCTAATGAGTCAAGGCTGATATTAGGCATCTTACTAAGGCAGTTTGATCGCTGAGAAAAATGTATCATTTTAACTTAGACTGTTCCATAAAGAAACTCTTTTTCTGTAACGCTGTTAAATGAGCCCCAGAAAAACATCTTTTAGAAAGCTCTTCGATGTGCCTCCTTATAACATAAAAGCCAGGACCTCTGCCTGCCCTTGAAGAGCAGATCAACACATTAGAAATGTAATGAGGAACATTAGGCCAAGGAAGAAATCACAGGTTCTGCGACTGCGGGGGAATGTGAATTCACCTTTTTGCTGAGCAAGTGAACTACACCAGCATGGTGGAGAAATGCCAGTACTGTGTGCTTCGCCGTCTATATTCAAGGCTTGTCTCCACAGCTTGTCTTAAGCAAATTTTCAGTAATATTTAGGTAATAAAGCAAAATTTCCAAAAGATTCCATTACAAACTCATGTCTCAGTTTGATATGTGACTATTTTTGGACACCCTTCACTCCCAATGCACTAACTGGTGATACAAATTGGTGGTATGCTTAATGGCCTGTCATGGCAGATTTCTATGTACGTTTGCCCAGATTACTTCCCAACCACTGAAAGAAGCTGGACCTCTGTAAAGTGTTCAATGATATGAAAGTGCAAAGTAAAACATGCCTGTGGTAACACTGTTGGGCAAGTGTGATATGTAAAGCATCCTGCAGCCCTAAGACTCCAGTGTGCACCCTGGCCATACCCTAGCAGCACTGAAGGACACCTGGCCTGGCTGGAGGGCAGGGAGGATCCTCTGTTCCAGATAACCAGGAGGTCAGGACTGCAGAGTCTCCTATGAATAGCATGGAGATAGAAACATGGACGTAGGGCCAATGGTAACAACACAGGTAATGAGAGGGACAATTCCTAGGTCTTAATGCCTTCTTTAGAGAAGTGTGCATCCCAGGCCTAAAACAGTAAATGCTTCACAGCAGAGAGAAGATGGCATGCCGCAAACACTGGTGCCTGTGACTTCAGAACATAATAACATAGTCCTAAAAATTTCTTTTACATAGCATTTCACTGCAGCTCTGGGTATCTACTTACTCAGTATAACCCCGGAGCAGGACTGACTGAGCACCCTAGCAAGGTACCGCTCATCCTGAGCTGACAGAATGGCACTAAAAAGCCAGGAAGAGAATGAATGCTCCATTTACTGCTGAAGTTCAGCTCATCAATGGCTGTGAAAGGGGTGCATGGAGGAGGGGGGACATTTACAAATATTAAAGTTTTTTTTAAAAAATCATAGACAAGAGATTCTGTCAGTTTGCTGTGCCCGTCATCAGTGATGAGATATTGATGTAGCATGACACAAATAAAAAAATACAATAATAATAATCTCTTCATCTTGTTCAGCTTTTCGTGTTCCCCATAAGTGTCATTCCATCTTGTGAGTATTAAAGCAGAATAAAGGAAGTAAATGACAGTTTCAGATGGAGTGTTTTTGATAAATACAAGCTGTTACAGTGGAGGTTTATTGTTTCAATTTTTCTTAATACAGAACCCACTGCTGCTCCCATCGATGTCAAAGCTACGAGTTTGTCTGTATCAGAGATTCTTGTTGCGTGGAAACATATTAAAGAAAGTCTAGGAAGACCACAGGGATTTGAGGTATGAACACAGAATATCATAATGAGAAGTCTTGTTGCTTTTGCTAGCATTGCATTCTGTTAACATGTGCAGTATTGAAACTTCAATAAAAATTATGCTCAGTTTAGCATACATATGACTAGTTGTAGAACAACGGTCACAGCTGTAGCACTGGAACATCTTTTATTTATTTGTGCTTGAAAACTGTTCAACACCAGTTCTTATAACATCTCTTTGACACTTCAAAAAGAGCTGAAAGAACTGCAAGTGACCCAGCATGTCTCTTTCACAGGCTGGGGAAGATTAGGTATTGACTGTTTCCAGCCCTAAGTGACCAGTTCAGACTTGTTATTTACTGAGAGCAATCAACGCAGAGAAAGGAAAGAGTCTCTGCCATCCATGTGCTCTCATCCCGCAGTGGCCGGGGGACATCTGCTGGGCAGATCATAAAAGGCAGGATCTCAGAAGGGGAAGCAGCAGCCACACCGTCCACAAATAAAGCTCTGTTTAGAGACAGCCCTTCCTGACTTGGGAAAGAGAACCAGCCCTGGCAACGGACCTTCTTGCATTTTTGGATCCAGTTGTAGCTTTGGATCCAGTTTACAACCCAGACCTCCAGGAACAGATCAGACCTAGGACCAAACCTATCCTTTGGGGCCACCATGACCCATCCTGGCCTTGTGGTTCGGCTATGCTGTTCCTCATGAAATAGCTCAGCTAGACTCAATTTACTGATTTTGGGGTGCAGGTTATTTGGCCTGCTTTAGTCCTTTGGAGAGTGCTGACTCTTTCCTGATTCTCTACAGTAACAGTGAAAAGAGGGTAAGCATGTAGATCTGAGGCAGATACCAGTGATATGGATGTCTAAAGACATCTTGTGACCTACTAGCACGGAGTGTCTCCCTGGCAGCATGTCCGGACAAGACCTGGGGGCTGGTGACCGTCACTGATGGCCTTAGGAAGGAAACGTAAGTGCCCAGGCAGCACCAGAGCCACCACACTCTCCAGCACAGCCTCAGGCTGGATGGCCTTGACCAAGACAGCATGCTTACCCCACAGCTTAGGCACAGTCAGTTAATATTTTTTTACCTATTTTGCTCTAGCTTCTTGATACCTAGATACTCCCGTATTGCTCTCCAGCGCAGTCCAAGCAGGCTGTGACTATCATGTGTCTCCTCAGGTCTCTCATTTGTCCGGGTCTCTTTCCCATATACATCTCCATGCTGAACTCTACAAACTCTCTTGTACTTTATCCCCACTTCTTCCTTACATTAAACATGTTTTTACCTCTTTGCACATGGCTTACTTCATGCAACAAAAGTGATATCTAACCACTTTACCTTTAGAACTGCTATATATAAACAGAACAAAACCGTGTCTGATAGAAATTACATTCACCTTGCAAATGCTATCCCTCTCCACATTGAAGTGTTCTACTTGCTACTAACCTTTGTCTTCAATTTCCAGGCCAGTCTTTTATCCTCTGAAATAATTTACTCACTGCACCCTGTCTTTTTCTCTTCAGAAAGGTGGTTGTTTTGTTACACCCTCTCAGATATCTTGACATCTTTTAAATTATACCTACTATTTTTACTCTTATCCTCATTCCGTCTATCACATTGATTCTCAAAATGTACTATTAACTTTGTTTTACAAATATTTAAAATAAAAAATAGGTTTTCTTTCTAAAAGTGAAAATGATTTCTCTAGAAACTTATTCTTTCATAACTTGAATGTATTTTGCATTTACCTACTTGTCACATAACACTTCCCTTAGCTCTACAGATGTGTCCCAGTGTGAGGTGGTTGTTACAGGTAGGATAGTGGGCTTTCTTCATATCAGAGGTGGTCTTCCTGTCTTGGAAAGTGTTTATACCCTCAGAGTTCAGCATACTCTGGCCCCAACTGTAATACTCACCTGCTCTACTTCTTTCATGAACTTCTTAGGAATGAATTTGGAAATTGTTATTGATACAGCAGGGCCTGTAAGTAACCTTACAGTAAGGTTAACATTGAACCTTATTAATAATTTAGCTCCTCACTGTGCTGTACACCTATTTTAGGATTTTACTGTGAAGATTACAGAGTAAATATTTCAAGTTAGGGACCTGCAGTTGACAGAACAAAAAACTGAAATATAAAAATAAAAATACTTCACTGCTCCTTTCTACCATGTCCCATGAGGGAATTAGAGGAGCCTTCTTAGGTATTGCTTTTATCTGGGGAGAGGAGGATGCTTTTTCTCCCCCACACCCCCCCACTTTTCCCTCTTTGTTCATTTAGCCAGAATTTCTCTGCCTGCTTTCTTATAGACAAATCTTTCGGGGATTGGCTTGCTCTTTCCTGTCCTCATTCCCAGGAAGTATTAAGATCAGAGCAGCCCTTACTCAATAAACAGAAGAGTAAATGCTGCTCTCCTGCATGATTGAGCAGGACAGAACGCAATCCGAGGACGATATTGCTAGATCTTTTCAGTGCCGTTTTTTGGGAAGGATTTTGTCAAAAAGGAGATAATGACTTATAGGATCGGTATAGTGAGTCAGTACATTACAATATTCACTTAGGAACACTAAGTCCACACTATCAGCCCAATTTTGCTAACATACTGACAGTTTCTCTTTAAAGCATCCCCTCAGTGCAAAAAGGAAGGACTCTGTATAGCAAGACACTGGGGCTAAACTCCCCCCAAAAAAACCAAAAGTATGGATTAGCTTTATGCTTTCCATATGATTCACTTTCTTCAACTTCTGTGAACACTATTGTAATTTAAAAACTGATTTTGAAAGTTTTATCATATGTCGTAGTGCAGAACATAGCCTGTAATACTCCTTTAATCCACAAATAGCAAATATATAGAGAAATCCAGTGACATTGATAAAAAGATTAATGATTTATCTTTTTTTTAACAATTTTTTCCTAATGTAAAATTATTGTGGACCACAAGTAAAATGTTGCTTTCAATTCAAATTGAATGCAAAATAATCTGACTAGCCACTCTGTTTTCATGTCTCAATTTGTATTCTGCCCGCGGTCACTGCAGCAGTGGCAACCACCTACACGGTGTTTACATTTCCTGGCCTTTTAGCAAAAGCATTATTAAAGAGAAGGGGGGGGGGGGGTTTTTTTTTTTTTGCTTGGGCTCTAATCAACAAAAGTGACAGAATATTTACTACATATGGACAAGTTTGCAGTGACCCAGTTTCACTCCTGCCCTGTTTGCACTTTGTACTAAGGAGTGATGAAAGGCAAAGTAACTTGTCCAATTTCACATTGTCATCCTTGAAAGGCAATGTTAACTGTTATGTCACATGAGTTTTATGCAAGGTTTGCTGTACTCATTTGCATCTTCCAAAGCACATATTATTCCTGACTTCAGTTCAGATTTGTCAGCTGTCCGCCCGACCTTACTAAATATATGTCAGCTACACTCTGATAAAGTAGAAGTAGCTTGAAAATTTTGTCAGAATGGTAAAAAAATATAGTGTGTTGTTCATACTTATTGTTTAGAATCCGTAACCTGAAGGTTATGAAATCTATTTCAGCCCTAGGCATTATTTTCTTTGTCACTCACTACTGGTAGGGAAGGGAAAGAATTATTGGCTGGAAGAACAGATATATTTTTTTTTCTTTTTTCTTTTCCAGAAAAACAATGCTAATACTTAAGTATAGATCACAAAGCTCATGTCTTTTTCACTGGAATTCCCCCAAGAGACAGGAGCTTGACTAACTTAATCAAAAGATCAACTTGCAACAACAAAAAAAAAAGTATAAAAAATAGAAAACCTTGAATGCCATTTTCAGAGAGGATTACTTGACATAATAACTTTTTTATGTCATATACTGTTTTTTCAAAGAGAAATATTCAAGAGTTTTTGCTATTTCTTGGATATATTTTATCTGTGTTTACAGTGGAACAGAAAATTACGTCTACAAGGTACTGGAATGTGGGGTTTTCTGAATTCAGTGAAGCATACCTTGAAGTAATTTAGAAAGAATATATGGATGTTTCTACCAGAAGCTGGTAAAGCAAGATGGAAAAAAGAGGAATTGGTGTTTTACCAGCCTGAATACCAATTTACTAGACTTCACTTTTGGAATGAATGAATTTTTCCAAACACAAAATTAGCAATTGGATAGTTTTATATGACTCAATTTTGCCTACGAAGTTATTCATATGCTAATTCAAACCCCTCTAAAATCCTGAAGACTATAAGCAGGATTTTATAGCACAGCAGTACTACTGTTTTTCAAGTCCTTAAGGTATGGATTGCACTCGATCTCTCATGAGGGCCTCAAGAGAGCCATACCCTTTGCAATGTCTGTATCATGAATAGTTTGTTACAAGACTACTAGCTTTCTATATTACCTAAAATCAGAAGCCTATATAATTATTGAGTTTTCATAAGAAAATAAGACTAGATATTTTACGATAGTCCTCAAGGTTGAGATACATTATCAGTCTTCATTCCATGTGCATGCAGGACTATGTGGGAGAAGAGAGTACCTGAGAAAAGAGGAGGAGGATGCAAGCTACTCCAGAGAAGACCCCAGATCCTAGGAGTACTGAACAGTGTTTTCTTTCTTCTTTTCAGTCAGCAGTTGTTTTGGTGAGAGGGAAGGAACTGAGGTTGATTGACCTTTTTGCAGGAACCTCTCATCTTGTTCTGAAAGACAGTCACACCAATATCTTGAGGTGATACAAAAAGCAGCAGCAGATCATACAAAAAGCACCTCTTCTGTCCTAAGTGCTTGGTTATACTGTTGCAGTTGTGCCAGCGCTAACATTTGCATGACTGCAATGTGTCAGTTTAAGGGGCTGATAGGTGTTCTGATAATGATAATTAAAACAGTTTTTATGAAATCTGAATCACTTTTTTAGGGCTAGCAGCAGTTCTTTCAGCTCACCGCTCTTTCTCTCCTAGCACTTTCTGTACTCTGATATCTCTTCAAGTTCCTTTTCAGTTATATCAGTACTGTTGATGTTGGTAAAGACTCCAGAAGAGAGTGCAGAAAAGTTTGTCTGTTTGTCCACTTCCATTCATCCTACCTAATTTGGGCTCTTACATGAAATGCCTAATTTGTAGCTTTAATTCTCTGTGGTCAACAGAAAGAGTATCCAGACAATAACTCTGACTGCTGAATTTAGAGAAGAGGGCCTGCAACTAGATAACATGAATTTATACCAAAGTGCTATTATGCATACCCTATGTCATGGTTTAACCTCAGTTGGCAACTAAGCACCACGCAGCCGCTCGCTCACTCCCCCTCAGTGGGATGGGGGAGAGAATTGGAAGGGTGAAAAGTGAGAAAACTCGTGGGTTGAGATAAGGACAGTTTAATAGGTAAAGCAAAAGCCGTGCACGCAAGCAAAGCAAAACAAGGAAATCATTTACTACTTCCCATGGGCAGGCAGGTGTTCAGCCATCCCCAGGAAAACAGGGCTCCATCACGCGTAACGGTTACTTGGGAAGACAAACGCCATCACTCCAAACGTCCCCCCCCTTCCTTCTTCTTCCCCAGCTTTATATACCGAGCATGACGTCACATGGTATGGAATATCCCATTGGCCAGTTTGGGTCAGCTGTCCTGGCTGTGTCCCCTCCCAGCTTCTTGTGCACCTCCAGCCTTCTCAGTTGGTAGAGCACAAGAAACTGAAAAGTCCTTGACTAGTGTAAGCACTACCTAGCAACAACTAAAACATCGGTGCCTTATCAACTTTGTTCCCATCCTAAATCCAAAACACAACACTGTACCAGCTCCTAGGAAGGAAATTAACTCTACCCCTGCCGAAACCAGGACACCCTAGAAACCAATTTGGAAAAAAGAGTGATATTATCTAAGATACCTTTTAACATGAAACTTCAAGGAAGTAGTCTGTAAGTATTAGAGATAGAAAAATTTTAGATGGAAACATACTTTTAATGTGATGGTTTACTTTTAACAATTGCTTAACCCATGATCAGGACAAAGCAGCTTGTATATGCGTGCATCTCTTCTATTCAGTTGTTTAAATATCATTATTGCTTTCGCTCCAGCTCAGAGATGGGTTAATTTTAAATCTCACAAACAATAATGCATTAAACAAACCAAATGCTTCCCCCCCCTTTTTCTTTCATTTTTAAAATATAGGCTTCTCTTTTGTGATTTATGCTTCATGCTATATCAATATTCAAAGTTATCGTTAATGAAAACTTACTCTAAGTGTGGTAAATCCCTTCTGAGCACTATAAATTAAGGTTACAGAAAATAGCAAGATTTTAAAAAAAACCAAACACATAAAAGTGTAAATAAACAAACCCTCTGTTTTAAGAAATATGTCCAGCACTTTTAAACATTAGTAGTATCTTCATTTCGGTTCAAATTGATGTAAGTTCCCCTATTATTGACCTCAGTCAACAATCACTGGAGTTCTTTTTTTTTTATAACCACTTTTTCCTTTAGTTCATTTGGCCATCAAGACATGGATATGTGCATTAAGAAAGAAAGAGAAAAGCGTATTTTGAGATCAAAGTCCAAACGCACCTGGTAAAACTTTAAGGGGAATTTTAAAAGCAGGGACCAAACACTTAAGGGCTTTGAACTACAGGACAAACTGAAATAGAAGCACTGCCAAATTGGATTTAACACTTTTGCTGCTTAATACAGTGCATTAATTCCCACAAGAATACCCCTTTGCCAACAGAGAACACCTTTGTCATGTGGTGCACCAGAACTGGTAGGGAACATGCCATAGTTATTTTTGCAGACTTAATGTGCAAAATATAATTCGTATCCAAACTGATAATGCCATATAAGCACTGGTGGAGATCATTTCCAAACACATGAAAAATATCAAAAGGGCTGAGTTATGCTCCTAGCTTTCTTCCACACTCATCAGGTTTTAATATCTTTGTAGTCCTAACACCATTATTCGGAAAATCAGGTTTTCACAACTTCTTTATACTAAAAAAAAGCTTCAGTGCAAAAGCTGGGGGCTATCTACTGTCTTGTACATTGCATTCACGAGACGTGGTGTGCCCTGTGAATAAACTACCACAATGAGACCTATTGAGCTACTTATAATTTTGCTTCTGGCTTCCTAGAACCAGGATTTCACTACTACAGTTGCATTTCCACCCCTGCTACTGTGCACCTGTGTAACATTGGGCAAGTCACTTTTCATTTCTGATCATTTCCCTGTTGGATCCTCAGCAGACTTCACTAACTGGATGATAGGGTCTCCAGGACGTGCTGCCTCTCACTACTTGTTTGTACAGTGCTTAATACTATGTGGCTCTCATCACTGTAGTGTCAAGTTTGTAAAGATGCATTGCAAGTAAAATGAAAGGAATCTAACTGCCCAAGAGATAATAAGCATTGGAGGTTCAATCCCAGTGTGTGAACAAAAGGTTGTTGATTCTTTTTTCTTTCCAAGGAAGATGTGACTAGGTGTTACTTCAGATACCAAGAGGGTTGGTCAAGCATTCAGCTAGCAAAATACCTCAGTGAATCACACTTACTTCAACAAGTGGTGACTACAGCTAGATTTGCTATCTGAGCTGTAATTAACATAAGAATTAAAGCAACAGCATTTTAACATGAGATAATGCAGGCACACAAAAAAGATATTTACATGAATGTTACAATTGAAAGAGTAAACTTTAACTTGGCACAAACTGATATATCCTCAATCAAAGTTAACAGAGCCACTTTACTCAAGTGAAGATATGACCTCAAATGTATATTTTTGCAGCCAGGTCTTTCTAGATTTTTTTTTTTTTAATGGCAGTCCTAGTGCAATTATAAAAGGTCAGCATTGTACTCATTGGTCTTATTTTCCTATGAACCCTGGGTTTTTTGGTTCACCATTTTCTGGGATACATGCACAAGAGTGCTGTATCATCCATGACCTTTTTCTCAGAGGAAAAGTTAGCCAGATATAATATGAATAACTTATTATGAAATAACCAACTTCACAGAAAAGGTCAAAATGTGGAATAAATCCAAGTAGGTCTCAGCATGAATAATGGTAAGCTGAATATAGGTCTTTGAATGGCACATTAGTGACATCTCCTGTTAGGGAAAATAGGGCCCCATGAGAATTACCTTACTTGTGTAGGTCACCTAGATACATTAAAAAAAGACAGTACTGCCTTTTTCCAGTTATGCCCTGCAAATACTTGATCCCTGAGGAAAGACACTAGCCAAATTCCTAGCTCAGCTCTATAACCTCTTTGAGATTATGATAAACTCAGTGCAGATATATGGATTAAGAACCACCAAAGATCATTTAGGTTTTTTTATGTCTGAAAAGGAAGGGCATAAACATACTATCAAAATTGCATTTACCAGAAACCTGTTTATATCCAAGAACTAAAACTGAATCCATTTCCTTCTTTTTCTTCAGATAAGATTTTTCAAATGAATGAAAGATTTCCTTTGGTGTTCTGTCATTTGCTATTCATTACACTGATAAGAAATCTCATGGCTCTGAGTTGCACAGGGCCAGGAAGGGAATATTGCTCACAACACTTCTTAACTGATCCGGTCAGAGCTTTCCAGGATGAAGGTAGATATTCTGGTGACGTACCAGAGGATGAGCTCTCCTTGAATTCTCTGAAATTGACTTCTGCCAATGTTCATCCTTTGCTATTCCGTCTTGTAGTTACATCTTCTTGTGCCAGTACGCAGCAATTCAACATGCTTCAGGTGATACCGTGATATTCTGAGTCTCACCATTTTGGAGAAGTGAGCGTTGTTTGGCTCTGAGGTTAGGCTGCAAATCACATGTGTTCAAAAGGGCTTGATGATCAGACAAAAGGCAGAAATGGCAAAAAGACCGTCCACAGGATAACAAGTATGAGCATCTGGAAGCATGAGCTTCCCAGATGCCTATATCAATCCTTCATTTGGTCACTTGTTTGCAGGTTGGTTACTGGAAGGACATGGAGCAGGAAGAAGCAGCAGAAAAGGTCAAAACTGAGGGAAATGAGTCATCCATCCTCCTGACAGGATTAGAAGGAAACACATTATATCACCTAACGGTGAGGGCATACAACGCTGCAGGGTATGGACCACCTAGCACTGCTGTGCGTGCAGCAACCAAGAAGTCTCGTAAGTGATCTCAGTACCTATGCTCAAAGGGAGAAGTCAGGGAGCAACCTCTGCCCTCTTGGGTTTTCCTTTAATGAGAGTGTATAATAATCAGGAATCATGTATAGTTTTGATTCATGGCTTTGCTTTGATATTTAGACACGAATTCATATGACTTTGCATTCATAACAAAGGTTATCTTCCTAGAAAACAAGGCATTTTTGACAAAGAAGGGACAGAAAAGAATTCAAGTTCATAATTTCTGTGGAGTTCATGGGGTGGGCTGAGTAAATACACCACAATCTATTAAATGACAATTCTGGTGCAAAAAAAAAAATCTTTTAAAATTCCAGCTAGATTTGGGAGCCTGCTAACACAACCAGTTGTAAATATAATAGAAGATTGAAATACTTTTCTTTGGATTTTAAAGAAACTACCTATAAACTGTATTTATATACATGTTATTTTTCCCCTCAGCTCCCAGCCAAGCACCAAGCAATATTATGTGGATACAGGATGGCTCTCATGTGTCTCTTGGGTGGGAGCCAGTCAGACCTCTAGCTAATGAATCTGATGTAATGGGATACAAGGTCAGTGCATCCCCTTCCTTGCTCACCTTTCTCTCTTCCAAATGACTACTCCTCTTCCCTGTTGGCTTTTTCCCTTTCTTGTTTTTCTGTGTACATAGAGTACGCTACACAAACTGTCTGCAATCAGTTTTCACCATGAAAAGCAATAAATAAAATTGACAAGAGCAAAATGTCCCGACATTTTCTATGTTGTGATTTTCACCTACTGATTATAAACTGAGTAAGCTCTATCTGAGGGGATCAGTTCATCGAATCTGACTCAGAAGTCGCTATTAGTAAGACCAGCCTGCAATGAAATTCCTACTAACACTTCAATTTAACTGTGTTTGCAGTAAGATTTAAGAGAAATGCAGAAGAATGAGGCATCTTAAAATATTAAGACAAAATATTAATTAATATTTTCATGGAGCAGAAGCACAAATACTTGGATTTGTTTTGTGATCATGTTGGTGGTGTTCAATAATCAGTGACAGTAACATCTGGCATTTAAAGTTTTAAAGAGTAAAAACCAGATTAACTCTTAAATAACAAGTCATAAAAAGCAGTGGAATTCACTGCAATTTTTTAAATCAAAACAGAATGCTTTCAATGTTTTTGCAGAGGCGTGGTGTTTTTTCTTTTTTAAGCATATATACAATAATTTCTATAGACTACAATCTGATATTCCCTCTGATACCTCAGGAAATACCACCAAGAAAGTGTAAAATGTTTCAAATAAACCAGAAACTGCTCTAACCTTTATCAGAATAGCTGAGATTCTGAAAAAAGTTCAGTTGACTACTTTGCTTTTTTACACCTCTCTGACCTTTTCAATTTTGTCTGGGAACAGAAACTTACGCAGAAGTACCAAAAAGGCAGCTATGTACTCACTTATTTCCTCCTACGCTCCATAAGCTTGTACTGAGTTTCACAGGAGATGCAGGGACAGATCTGAGCTATTCTCAGTTGACTTAGCCAGCTAAAGTAAACACACTAAGGACAGTATTTAGGGCATTTTCTTTACATTTGAAGATGGGTTCTTGAGCCAAAAATGTGACTATCTACATAAATTTGGGGATAAGAATTTGAATCAAATGGAACCCAGAATGCATTTAGAAGAAAGTTTGGAGAACAAATTGTGTAACACCTAATGCTGGAGCAGGCAAATGCTATATCTTCTCTCTGGATCGTAATCAATGTCCTTTCACATTCATTAATTGCTAATATACTTTGCTATTAATGTTTTGAAGCCATTAGGGGGAAGGGAGAGTAAAAGCAGATGACTGCTCAAATGTAATGTCAAGAAATCCTTAATGAAAGCATGAAACAGTTAAACTTTCAGTGACTGTGTTATCTACACAAAATGTCTGGTATATAACTTGAATGACCACTATGACCACTATCTACTTTATTGACCATAGGTATTATTTAGGCAAGAAGGCCAGAGCAACAGTCAAGTTATAGAAACACAGAAAACCTCTGCAGTGGTACTTCTTCCTGATGTTGGCGTCTACATCATTGAGGTCTGTGCAGTCAGCGAAGGAGGGGATGGGACTGCAAGTCCCCAGATCAGAGTTCCATCTTTTTCAGGTAAGGTTACACTTATATTTGGAAGAGTGGTGATTATAGCAGTACTCATTAACTCTATTATTCTCTACTTGAAACAAATGTTCTCACAATTCTCTAGCTATTAGATAAAATCATTAATCAGAGTCTTCATTTCTGTGCTGAAGAAAAGGTATCTAGTGCAATTTGAGATGTTCAAGAGTATCTGAGGCATCCATGTGGGGCTGATAAATAAAACAGAGCATTTACAGGAAAACTCTCCCTTTCTAGGATAACATCTGGAAACCTAACTGAGCTGTAGATGTCTACACATGCATTAGGTTTCTCAAACAGCATTATAGTCAGCTGAGATGTAATCCATACAGACCAACAGTGGAGCCTAGACAGCAATTCAGCTGATCTTCTCAATTTAAATATTCAGACATAGGCACATAAGGACACCTGAGCTGTCCTAAGGTATCCCAAATACCTGCACAGAGCTGGCAGCTATGATGCGGGACTTAGAAGATACGCACATCATTCTGGACCACCAGCCAGAGGTGTACTACCTAACACAGCTAAAATGGCATGCATTTAGGTAGCTGAACCCTCTGTATGTGCCTGCTTTAGAATAAGTGGAATTAGTCTATAAGTTCCATTGACTCCCTTGAGTAGATATTACTTTATTAAATGATTAATGTATTACAGCATTAAAGTATTATCCTGAAATAAATTATGATGTCTAGCTTCTATTTCCTCAGTTACTGCAATATGTTGAAAGAATTTAAAGTATCAATATTACACAGTTAAGAAAGGGATGGAAGAATTAGTGGCAAGAACAACCAGAAAAATAACAGTCTCTTGCCTAAACACAACGAGGCATCTTAATTGTAACTTTCTGCTAACACTTTAAAATTCTACTAAACATCACTTTTTAGTCCTTAAGGAGTACTATCCAAAAGGTGTGAGCCTGAAACTTCAATCTAGACCTAAAATTTCAGCTCTAATCTAGTCACAAACTACAGTGCTATCATCAGAATGCAGAAGACAGCAAGCCCTACTCCATGGAATATTTGTTTCATGTATCTTTTGAGCCATAACTCTAGGCCACAAAATCTTTCATTCCCTCTAACTTGATATTTTTGATTAAACTACACACAACAGATCAGTTCCACTGAGGAAGAGTGTGGTCCAAAGAAACCCAATCTGGTTCCCTTCCCATCCTGTGATCTGTTACCACTGCCAGACCATAGCAGATTTCCCCTTAGGACAGCTTTTTAAGGGACTGCTGTGATCTAAAAACATCATTGGACTACTGGGCAAAAGACCACTTTTTCCTCTGGACAAACATCAAGATCATTCTTTGTTTCAGGAAGAACATTTGTGACTGTGACCCAGGGCATCTTCTGCAACACAATTCTTTTTGAGGATGTCCTGGTTTCAGCTGGGATAGAGTTAATTTTCATCCTAGTAGCTGACATAGTGCTGTGTTTTGGATTTAGGATGAGAACAATGTTGATAACACACCGATGTTTCAGTTGCTGCTAAGCAGTGCTTACACTAGTCAAGGACTTTTCAGCTTCCCATGCTCTACCGACTGAGAAGGCTGGAGGTGCACAAGAAGCTGGGAGGTGGCACAGCCAGGACAGCTGACCCCAACAGACCAAAGGGATATTCCATACCATGTGACGTCATGCTCAGCATATAAGCTGGGGGCAGTTGGCCGTGGGGCAGCGGTTGCTGCTCAGGGACTGGCTGGGCATCAGTCAGCAGGCAGTGAGCGGTTGCATCACTTCTTGGGGTTTTTTTCCCTTCCTGGGTTTTATTCCACTCTCTCTCTCTCTCTGTTTTACTTTCCATTACAATTTATTATTGTTGTTGTTGTTCTTATTCTTAGTATGATTTTATTATTTCAAGTATTAAACTGTTCTTATCTCAACCCATGAGTTTTCTTACTTTTGCTCTTCCAATTCTCTCCCCCATCCCACTGTGAGGGGGAGGGTGAGTGGGCAGCTGTGTGGTTCTTAGTTGCTGACTGGGGTTAAACCATGACAGAGGATTAAGGCATAAAACCACATACCCTTTTGGAATTTCCTATTCATTTGCAGACTGAATATGAGGATTCAGCATGTGAGTTTCTGTAGATATCATCATAAACTCCCCAATTTCCTCATGTCTGTGTAGGGAGCCTATTTTGCGATTGCAGTTCTCACAAGGTAATCCATTGCCTAAAAGTTAGGCTTTTGCTGAGTGTAACAGAATACAAGTTTTGGGCAAAATGTAGTACCTAAATGTACTAAGAACTGTTTGCATCATTTGTTCCTTAATTACTTTGTTTTTCATTTCAGGAGGGAAAGTAACAAGTGCTCAATCCACCTTACATGTGCTGTCCACTTCCTCATCCTCTGTAACATTGCTTTTGGCACTGATGGTTCCTTCAACCTCATGGTGAAGACTGAAGACTTTGTTGTTGTTGTTATTTGTTTGCTTTAGCTTGATGACACCAAGGGATGGAGTTTTATGTCCGTGGAGAAACTGGAAACACAAGCTAATGCTTAAAGACCCGTAGAAATGCCTGTGGTGCACTTAGAGGAGTGTTGGAGACATGGTCAATAATCCATCAGGTTTCTTTCACTTCATTTTTTGTAAAAGTCCTCTGGGGAGGGGACACTTCTTGGCCCAAAAATATGCAGATTGTATGTAATAAACTTTTGTAAGGAAACGTAATTTCTGTCAAATGTACTTCACTTTTTTAATATGTTTGATTTTGGTGACCCCAGTCATGTATCATTAGGTGTTTAAACAGTGGTGTCTAGTACAGTACATCTGTTTGGTTTGGAAAAAAATTCTTTTTTAAATATAGAACAAAGTCTGATATAGCTTTGTCAAATACTTTTCTTGCATCCCCTATGGCTAGCTGTTCCAACCGACAAGAGAGAAAAATACAGTTTAGATACACAGCCCACTGCAAAAGTACAGAGAATTTGTTCTGAAAATGTATGAATATGTATTTAATTAGCAAAAAGAATTGTCGATACAATATTAGACAGCACACTCAGAAAGTGACAAAAAGGAGCAGAAGAGAAGCCATTTATTTTATCATAAGGTAAACTGAAAATGATTAAACACAAACTTAAAAAGAAACAAGTTTGTTTTTCTTCAAATACCACATGATTTAATGTCAAATGAATCAAATATTTATTTTCAATAGCAAATAAAAAATCAATTCCTAATGCATATGACAATGAAAACTCCACTGGGTATTTAAACATGATATACATTAGGCTGCTAAGTGGACAAATAAAGCAAAGCAAGGAGATAAACCTACTTTTTCCAACCACTTCTCAGTTGTAACTTTTTTTCCCTCTGGGTCCATTTTTTAGTAACATTCTGTGCTTTATATATTTGGTAATCAAGTTGAAGTATATATGAAAGCATATTATGGAGAGAATATTAACATTTTTTGGAATGTAACCATTCACATATATACAGACTCCAGTAGGATATATTTTGCGGAATGCTGTGTCTGAAAAAAAATACTTGGATAAGTACTACTGAGCATCATTTCAGTTATTTAGCTAATTGGCTCTATTTCTATAGCTCACTAGAGATTTTTCTTGTAGGGACTGTGTGCTATCCGTTTTAATCCCCACTTTTTGCTGAAACAAAAAATTTTTCACTCAATAGACAATTTGGACAACTTTTCTATACTGGAAGGCCTTTCCGCATATTGGCACCTGAATCAAAATTATCCCCAGTGTATATGGTGTGTGTGTTTGTACAATTATGGTGTGCACGGTGTTATGAGGGAGGGTGTTTTACTACTATGTGTTTAGGGATCGCGCCTAGGATGAACATTCCCTTGCCTGGGAAAAATCAAGTCAAAAGAGTTTAACAAGCAAGTCCTAATAGCATATTTCTTCTAGCTGTCCATCCCTCTAAAAGTTTTGATGCAAATCTATTTTGGTTGATGGGTTCTGGGTATAAATGCTATTATTTTGCCAGCTCACTAACAAAATAATACTTGGCATTTAGCTAGTACACTCGAACAGCGCCCTTTCTTAGCAACTTTAAAATAGTAGCCAAGAAAACACAACACAGAGCAAGTGCTTGGTAGGTAAAGAGCTGACTGACAACCCTTTTTTTTTTTTTCTTTTGAATATTTTATCTGTAAAATTTTTCAGAGATGGTTCAACTCAAATCTTTATTACCCACTAATATTTTAAACAATTTTCTAAAAAATAGGTTTTAAATTTACTTAGTCACAATGTTGCTAGGAAAACAAAGGCAGGATAGCTTGCTGAGCATAGACTGTAAATACACACGGAAGGAGACCTTCCATATCTCTGCTTCTGGAAAAGCCTTTGAGATCAAAGAAAGAAAGGTGGAATATACTTTGCTGATAGAGCAAACTCATAGAAAATAACTAGCTGCTCTCATTTATAAAACAGCAGCATTGCTACTGTGCAGAGAACTTGCATTAGCAAACCATCATTTTTCAAAAGGTTGAAATAAACAAGAATAAAGTGATGAACCAAAAAGGAAAATGGCTATTTTATAAATTAGTTAAGCATAATTTCCTCTATTTTTTATACAGCTGCTTGCCAATGCAGTTTATTTCAGAGTACAAAAAGGCTACAGTCACTGCTTGGTGGCGTTTTGGTCAAACAACTTTCTGAATACAATAGATGGCTGTGCTTTATAAGAATGAAAGTCTGATAAGGAGATAGAGCTGCATCTAGTTATATCTCGCTCTGTAGTGTCAAGATACAGATAGAAATACTAAACATACCATCAGGTAATGTAGTTGTATTGCAGGGATAAAAAGGGATATGTTTTATATTCAACATGAACAGAATATGTATTTTGCTTCTTAAATATATTAATAAACATGTTTTAAATGTTTAAGTACCTATGTATTACCTATTTGTTACTTTGTAGAAGATGTTTCCTTATCATGACATACTATTTTTTAGTTGCAATGGAGAGCTCTTTCCTTTTTCTTGTAAAAGATTGTAATAGTGCAGTCTAGCGTCACTGAGGAGACTGTATTTTTGTATAATGCCACAAGACCTGTTTGGAAAAAAATAATTAGAAAGAAACTTTGTTTTGCAGACCAAAAGAAAGATACTGTCATGGCCCATATCAAATTGTTAGATATATTGTATACAATCTGTATATATGCTATATATAATGGTATATACAATGTGGAAGACACAGTAATATAATAGTTCCTGTGTACTGTTCTTGTAACATTAGATCTTTTTAATAAATAATTCTCTTTTTATTGACTTTTATCTTATCTCCTGTCAGCTCCTGAATTGTATTCATAGAAGACAGGGTGACACAAACATTTTGGATTCCAACAGCAACAACCTTTTAATTACATGACTTTCAAGAAGAAAATTATGAATCTGCAATAATGAATGTGGACAATACAACCATTAAAATCAAATAATTTTTTGTCATCTTTCTAATTTCACATATGTGTTGGTTTCCCTGGGTAGATATTGCTTTTATAATTAAATAACGGAAAGGTGCAAGATGGTTGGAACTCTCAACATGAAACTACACCTAACAAAAATTGCAAAATAAGTCTGCAAATTAGTTTCAGAGATAAAAGCTCTCCGCATTTTAAAAAAAGAATCATGAAAAGAAGTGCTTTGTAAGGAAGCCACCAAGGGCAATCCTCTGTATACTGAATTATATATAGTTTCTGGGACTGCTCTGGCACGTATAACATTCTTTCAGGTGTCACCGATACCCCATGGCCATGCAGGCACAAAAGCACAGCGTGGCTATTTCATATTCAGTTGAAAAGTTTAGTTGCTTTGCCTTACACTTGAAATACTTTGTGCAATAAATCACAACAAAAAAGCTTTCAAAAATATAAATGCCCTTTTGGAGAAAAAAATGTAATAATCGATGACCCAATTATAGCAAATATTTTTCTTTTTTCATAGTTTTATTTGAGTTTTTAATAATCCCCAATCACTTCTTTATGAAATGCATATTTATAGTGGTAAATGACTTCGCAACACAGTACGAAGTCAAAAAGCCCATTTTGGAAATAAAAATTGATTGCCACAGTCACCATTTGAACTGACACTTCAGTTACAAGATGGGTATGGCTTAAATAGCATATTATATCAGGACTTCCATTAAATTAGTTATGAATGTCACAGAAAACTGTAATGACCTGGTTTTGCTGACATGGAAAACTGTGTATATTGAAAATCTATGTCCTATCAGAACTTCTACCAAACTGCAACCCACTCTTGCCCTTTTATGGCCATCATCCCAGTTCCTCTGAAGATGAAAGACATTTTCCTTCTTAATTACTTCCTATGCTTTTGAGCAAAACAATGTCAGAGCTATGACACTGAAAGTCCTTCAGCACAAGAGATCTGCAGCACCTTGAACCTTGCTGTGACAGCATATTGCCAAACATAGTCTGTTTGCTCAAGGCATAGCTACTCCCACAACCCCTCCCTCCACCAAGAAAATATTTACCTTCATGAATTACTATGAAGTGGTAAGGAATTTCTATTCTTAAATGGCTGCTGAACTCTTTCTTACTTCTAGTCAGAGTAGAGCTGTTAAGATACTGTAAACATCTAAAAAAGGTGAGAAAAATATGGCACAAAAAAGCCCCCAAATCCAGTAGGGCTTCTTGTATAGACCAGCAAACAAGCCAAATCCAAAATGAAACTATGTGACTCACATAACGCTCTGCATCCAGATGATATGGGGAGGTGGGAGGTCCATCCCCATGCACCCCCACCTTAATTTGTTGAATGTCAGTAGAGTAGGATCTGTAGTGCCATAACAACTTTCCACAAGGCTTTTGGCAAGATGCTATAGAGAAGGAACGCCAGTCAGGAAAAGGGAGCAACAGCTTTCTGTCTGTTTTGTGGTTGATACTGCGAGTTTTACAGAGTTCAGAAGTAAGGCGAGAGACATCTGACCACCTTATATCTTCTTTGGACACCTAAATCTCAAAATCATGATGATACTAAGACCTTCCAGGTAATTAAATGGCAGATAATGTTGAAGCACTCTAGAAGGACTGCGCAAAACTGAGTGAGGGAGGAAAAAGGCAGCAAGTATGTTTCAATCCAATAAATCTGAGGTGAAGAAAATCTAAACTGTGCTTACTTCATGCTGAGTGTGGAACTGAGAGGTGAAACTCAGGAAAGAGGACTTGGAGTTATCTCAGAAGGAGTCAGAAATTTATGGCTCACCATATAGCAGCTGCTGAAATGCAGTAAAAGTTGTGTATCATCAGGAAGGTTACTGAGAGCAAGATGAAATAACATTTTTCTGCAAAACAAAACTTTGGTTTTATCACAGTACTGGTACTGTGTGCACTTGAGGTCTCTACATCTCAAAAAGGACATAATACAGATATTGAAGCGAAAGACAACTAAAACGATCAAGGGTACCATCTAG